TACTTTTGTTTACGGTTTATAACATTACCCCCAAACTCGGCATGTAAACTGATCATGTTTAACTATATTTAACTATTTGAGAGTTTCGTAACTATTTTAACCATTTCTTTAATATAGTTTCTAGTTTTTTATTTAAATTATTGACATATTTTTATGTCGACCCGTATTGAATCTATAAATAATGCATCTGCTAAAATATTTAAAATGTTTAGGCATTCCTTATTTATTAGTTATATTTTACATAGAGTTAAATATTGTTAAACAAGAATGCCTTACCCTTCGGGAACCGTCTTTCATCGTCTGTAATCATATCGATATGATTGTAGAGATTGTCACTCAACTCATCCACTGAATCAGATTCTGTCGTAAATATTATAATTTTTAAAAATAATTTCATTATTTATTAAATGTTATTCAAATGCAAACCCGGATAACGACCCGAAACGCCAGATATCACTATTTCTTCGTTTTGTTTTGAATTCATTTTTATATTAAATGAATTATTATTTTTACTTTTAATAAATGATTTAAAAATTGTTAACTAGTTTTAATAAAATTGCAATTTTTTCAAATATGATAACATTTAATTACAATAAAATAATTAAATTACAAATGATATTTAATATGTAAGACAGAGGGCGTAGAGTTTACGATAGACTTAATTGTTGAAGTGGTGGAGCTTTTATTGGATGCGAGAGAGAATGTAAGAAAGTAATGATCATTAGATCGATGGCAACGATGACCCGAACTGTTGAACAACATTTGGTGCTATTGTATGGTTTGAATCCATTTGTGGAGAGAGTCTCCACTCGTCGGCCCCGCACTCCAACAGCTTATATCGGGTCTCATTGAGTGTGTCATAGCATTTGCGGTCGGCATCGTTGAGGCCAACGCCGGCCGGCAGTATGTCTTCATCGCCGGCCGCGCACAACAACCCGTTGTTAGCCATCCATAGAGCGAACGCCACAAATGTCACAAATATTTTCATCATTTGTGTCTGATTTGTAATCACTTCCCGTTTTGACTGAATTATAATTCACTTCTAATCAGTAATTTTGTCGAAAATTTAATAGTTAATTATTATTAAAAATATTGGATTCGGTTTTTGTATTTTTAGACAACTTTTAATAGTATGGCTATATATGCCATACTATAAATATAGCTATCAGAATAACTTTAGTATAGCAGTACAATAAAAATTGTATTACAATTAGTGAATATACATGTAATTAGTAATTAACTGTACATTTTGTAATTAAATATGCGTTAAGTATGTGTTCTGTATAAGTTAATTATTAATATTGTTAACAACTATTGTTCGTAGAATTAAACATTGAATTATAGTGTTCTCTCTCTCTCTCTCTCTCTCTCTCTCACTCTCTCTCTCATGTTATTGATTGATACGATTAGGAGAAGAATCTGATCCACAAGTTGTTCAAAGTGTTGGCCCCGCGTTATGTGAAGTACAGCGAGTCGTTCACTGCTATGCATATACTGCCACTCGATTGCAGCAAAACACTACTCACCGGTAATCGTGTCACCGGCGACGCGCCCGACCTTAACCAGGAGGCTGTGCTCGAGCTTAAAGGTTAGACATAACGGCCCACTTCTCCCCCTCCCCACCACCCGGTGCTCATAACCTATGTTTTAGTTGTTTATTACAATTATATGCTTTGTTTTATAGGAAACCCTTTGCCGTCCGTACGGACCGAATCGATCGATGGCAGGAATTTCCTGACGAATGCGCTCTTAAGGGCCGCTAAACGAGAGTACGAGTCCCGCAAAGTGGCCGGCGATAAGCCTCGCGACCAGTAGTCACTAAAACCATTAGATTTCTCTTGTAATTATAATTAGTAAACAGTTTTTGTAAAACTTAATTGCATTTTACGTTAATAATCATAAATATAATAAATATTACATACATTTAAAATGAATAAATAATTAATGAACTTTATCAATTGAACACTCAAGGTGATTTTATTATTCAGTTTATTTTAAAAATTAATCAATTTTTAATTATGTTAGCATTGATTTTCATATCCGTTTAATTAAAGTCTTTATTGCATTGAATGAGAACTTTGATGGCATTGTTGTTGGGCTCTAACATCTTGTTGAACGCGTCCAGCGATCGCTCCAATGGATACTTATGAGTGACCAGTGGTTTCAGATTCACGAGACCCTTCTCTAGCAAATAGATGGCCATCGGGTAACTGTGCGGCACCGGGAGGTCAACACAACAAATCAGTACACAATACAAACAATACAATTATTTCATTAGTGTAAATACCAGTTACGGAAACGACACACTCCGATGATGTCCACCTCCCGGAGCGACGCGTTGACCAACGGGGCGCTCACCTCGAGCGGGCCCAGACCCACGAGCGCCACTTTGCCGCCATTATTGGTGGCATAGATGGCCACTTTGGTGCTGCCCTCGTTGCCCGTGCACTCGAAGGTCACATTAGCCCCCTGGCCGCCCAACGCCTCCTTCACTTTGGCCACATATGTCTCCACATTGAATGACTTCAGATCGATGTGAATGGTTTGGTCGGCGCCCAACTCTTTGGCCACTTTTAGCCGAAACTCATTGATATCTATGAGAAAATTGTGGGCAATTCTGATGAGAACCCTGTGGTCCGGGGGTTATAGAGGGGTTACCCATACCTGTCATGACAACACGGGAGGCTCCGTGCGCTTTGGCCGCCGCCAAACACATCATACCCATAGTGCCGGCGCCGCACACGAGCACCGTTTGGCCGAGGGTTAGGTTTACTCGGCGTACGGCGTGTACGGCCACCGCCAGGGGCTCAACCATAGCTCCCTCTTCCCACGACACGTTGTCCGGGAGTCTGTAAATGCATAGCAAATGCTGTGTTAATTAATAGCACAGGTAGGGGGTAGTGGTTAAGCAGTAGCTGCAGGTGACTTACTTGAAACAAAAATCAGCCGGGTGCTCGAAATAGCGTGTGAGCATACCGTCAAACTGCGGCGACCCCTTGACCTGAGTGTTGGACACCGGGCAGTGATTGTACATTCCCTCCTTACAGTGATGGCACATACGACAGGGTAGGGCCGGCTCTATGGCCACCCGATCGCCAGGCTTCAAGTGGGTGACATTGGACCCAACCTGATCGACCAGTGCGCTCACCTCGTGGCCAAGTATTAGCGGTTCTTTGACCACAAAACTGCTCATAAATCCGTGCACCCAATAGTGGATATCAGTGCCACATATGCCGCACGAATGGGTTTTGCACAACACATCTGTTCCCACCCGAAGAATAGACACAATGTTATTGTGGTTAATATCAATGATAATAATTTGCAATAAAGGTATGACTGATGTGGTTTAGGGGGGTGTTATGGGTAGCGTTGCCAGATATACAGGAATGACCTGTATAATACAGGAATTAAGAAATATTGCAGAGTACAGGGAGGTGTCATTCCTGTACATTGACAAATACAGGAATACATATTTTGACAATAAACTATAAAAGTATAATAATATTCAGATTTGTAAATAATAATAGTCCTGTACACTCACAATCTGAACTAATGCTAAAAATTAAATGAATTTAAACTTAATTAATTCAATTCTAAAGACATTTGTACAAACACTCGAATTTTCGCAAAAGTATAATTCTTTGAGAAATGTATGAATTTAAAGTTTTGCTTTACAAACAATAAAATACAGGAAAATACAGGAATTTTTAGTAAAATTTGCACAATTATACAGGAAATCCAATATATTTTCTGGCAACGCTAGTTATGGGATATACTTTACCATTTGGTCCCAAATTGGTGGGAATGGGTGTCTGCTCTAACCGTAAGTCACCCTTTTTGTGTATAACCAGCGATAGATTGTCATCGTTTGTTTTAACCATTATTATTTTTTGGTTTAATTTAATTAATTAAACTATTTTTAATTAAACTTAAAGTTAATTAAACTTTTTGCCAAACGGTTTGAGAGATCACTGAAGCTATTCAAACAAATGGCAAATACTTTATAAGTATTTTATTAAACGTTAGCAAACTTTTTGCACCTAAAAACACTGAACTAATCAAATACCAGTTATAACTGATTTAACTAGGGCTGGAATATTTTTTGTAAAGCTAAATAAATTAAATTAATAGCCTTAGATTAATAATACAAGTGTATCGCCAACACATCTAATCAGTGATTTATTGAATTACTTGTGTCATGTTAAATTATTACACATTTGGCCTTTACCAGAACATTATGGCGACAGATCATGATAATATTTTGCACCCACCATGTCACTATTTAATTATATCCCTCACACTTAGACCCCCACCACTACTCGTGTATACAATTCAATATGTTAATGCTGATTTAACGAGATAATAATTTTCAAAACAATCTAGCATAATTAGGCATGTTTATTTATTTAATATTTACTAGTACCTTGGTGCCTATCGTATAATAATTAATTAATCTGTTATTGATATCTACAGTGTTGGCCAACACATGTTATATACATTTATTATTTGCACTTTTATTAAAATCTATAAATCATTAAAATTTTAATTATTTTTAGGACATTTAGGACAGTCTGTAAATATGTAAAATATTTCGCAACCGTTGTTTCGATATAATGGAAATGATATTAAATAAAATTAATACAATGAATGGTTTGATGTGACATATTTTGTAAAATTCTAGTAGAAATGTTTTAACAACTATTGTACTTAAAGTAGTTGTATTTCTAATTGTATTTAAAGTCTTGGAAAAGCAATTAATTATTTCATACCATTCTCGAATATAATATACTGTATATTTAAATTATTAAAATACATATTTATTAGAATTCAATTAAAAAGTAATTCCCGAAAAATAGATACTCTATTTATATAATAGATTATAAAATGGGCATGGTAACTGCCCAATGCAGGATTTGTGCAAGTATTCTAAATTATATAGTATATTAGGCTTTGATAAACGTAATTATGAGTTAAAGATACCATAAAATAAAATTTATAATATTGCATTTTATTATATTGTTATTCATATGCATCACTAATTCTTACATGTTTGCATTCGGTTAGTCTGACTATACATTTCAATAAGAATAAAAAATAAAATTTTATGTATATTAACGACATATTAAAAAAAATTCTACAATAAATTGATACCTAAAATGGGTAATCATGAAAGTCGTGGGCCTGAGACCATGTTACAATTATTGTTACCAAGAGTGCACGGGGCGCACTGTTTGATTATATTAACCACAATAATAGCCATGTGCGTTCAGGAAAAGGCCTACATGACCAGGCAAGTATTAAGTGCCTGTGAAATTTTCCTGGTTTTGTTATTATCCGGCGGTTACGCTATCGCGTGGGCCGTAAATGTTAAAAAATACGATCAAATGCCAACAGTTGTGGCCGTAATCTCACAGCCAGAGCCCCGGGTTTGCGTTGAAGTACAACAGATTAAGAATCCCTACGTGCACCTCGATCAATTAAATTTCACTATCTTCTATTGGTTAAATAATAATTATTATTAATATATTATATTTTATAGTGTATTTATTTATTGAGAGAGAGAGAGAGAGAGAGAGAGAGAGAGAGATTCTCTCTCTCTCTCTCTCTCTCTCTCTCTCTCTCAATAAATACACTATAAAATATAATATATTAATAATAATTATTATTTGACCAATAGAAGACAGTGAAATTTAATTGATCAAGGTGGACGTAGGGATTCTTAATCTGTTGTACCTCAACGCAAACCCGGGGCTCTGGCTGTGAGATTACGACCACAACTGTTGGCATTTTATTATATTTTCTAACATTTACGGCCCACGCGATAGCGTAACCGCCGGATAATAACAAAACCAGGAAAATTTCACAGGCACTTAATACTTGCCTGGTCATGTAGGATATGTTCACACCAATCACAATTATATGCATAATAATGCACAACATGGTGTAGTTAAAACTTCGCCGCTTAGTCCCAATTAGGCCCATCAGTCCGGTCAATATGGGTCCACTTCCTGTATATTTAAGCCCTTTTCCTGAACGCACATGGCTATTATTGTGGTTAACATAATCAAACAGTGCGCCCCGTGCACTCTTGGTAACAATAATTGTAACATGGTCTCAGGCCCACGACTTTCCTGATTACCCATTTTAGGTATCAATTTATTGTAGAATTTTTTTTAATATGTCGTTAATATACATAAAATTATATTTTTTATTCTTATTGAAATGTATAGTCAGACTAACCGAATGCAAACATGTAAGAATTAGTGATGCATATGAATAACAATATAATAAAATGCAATATTATAAATTTTATTTTATGGTATCTTTAACTCATAATTACGTTTATCAAAGCCTAATATACAGGGTGGAGATTAAGTATGTCTTTTTTTAAAAACGTAATAACTCGTAAACTATAAGACATAATTTATTCAATTCTTTTGCACCATATACACAAAAGTATGGCATGATTGAATCAGGTTTTCAAAAATTTTCGCCAACCATAACACTCACGTGACGGACCGATTTCCAAAACTGGGCACTCGGCCGGCAATTATGTAATATTTCAAAGATCGATAGTACGATAAATGAAAACACGGTGCGCATACATCCCATACATTCCATTGAATAGTTGTTCAAATTATGTTTCAGTTTCAATTAATAGTTTACAAATGGCGCGCTTTTCAAAAAAGACATGACAAATTTATACTTTATATATTTTTTAAAAATCGCTCCATCTCTAAATTATTAATTAGAAATGAAAAAAAATTTCACAACTAATTAAGTGTATGTATGGGCTATGTGCTCAACGTGTTTCATTTATCGTAATTACGACTTCTAAAACTTGACATTATTGCCCTTAATTTGGCCAATTTTGGAAACTGGGTCTGTCACGTGAGTCTTATGGTTGGCGAAAATTTTTGAAAACCTGATTTAATCATGCCATACTTTTGTGTATGTGGTGCAAAAGAATTGAATAAATTATGTCTTATAGTTTACGAGTTATTACGTTTTTAAAAAAAGACATACTTAATCCCCACCCTGTACTATATAATTTAGAATACTTGCACAAATCCTGCATTGGGCAGTTACCATGCCCATTTTATAATCTATTATATAAATAGAGTATCTATTTTTCGGGAATTACTTTTTAATTGAATTCTAATAAATA